TTTTTTTTTTTTTTTTGGAAAAACGAGATCATCAGATGGTTCTTGACATGCATACAATGGATTATAGTTGATAAGGAAAAACTGTAGGTCATGAGAAATAAAACAAATTGAGGACCTAAAGCCTTTAAGATGGTATTTTTTTTTTTTTTTTTTTTTTTTTTTTTTTGAGATACAGTATCATGTAGCCCAGGTTGGCCTCAGACTGGCTGTGTAGCTGAGGATAAGCTTGAACCACTGATTTTCCTGCCTCCAAGTGCTCAGATCACAGGCCTGGGCCGCCATCCTCAGCTACTGCTACACATTTTTCAAGGGTTAAATATTTCCTCCCATTTACGTCTGTCCACCCACCCATCCGCAAACCAATCCACCCATCCCTTCCATCCTCCCTCCTCCCTCTCACTCACCCATCCCTCCATGCCCTCCCTCCCCATCCCAGTGGTTAGTAGAAAATCGGGAGTTTCAGTGAGCAGGTGTGAACTGGGAAGCTTCCCCGGGCAGGAGCTGGGCTGCTGTAAGCTCCTCCCACCTCTCATTTGCATATAAAGTCTCTTATTTGCATAGACACTAGGTCTGCTACCCGGCTTGCTCCAGGCCCCAGCAGCAGGCTCTCTCCTGTGTGCTAGACTACAGTGTTGAGCAAAAACAGATGCTGGCCACTCACCCTGTGGAATTTGTCAGTTTGGAGGAGACAGATGTGAATCAAGTAACCACACTCTTGAAACCATAATCACAAACAGCCCCAGCCAGGCCTCAGCCAGGAGGCTCCTGGGAGGTGGGGATACTCCCCAGAAACCAAAGCCCTGCATGAGTACCTACCGGGAAAGGGCATCTAAGCAGGGGGCTGCAGGACAGGGGGTTGAGGGGAGGGGGCCAGGAAGGTGGTAGCTGAGCTGAACAAGAAATAATGAGGTCAACAATAGACACAGGCTCAGGGTCAAGGGTGTTGGTGGGAGGGGCAGTCGGGGGTGGGAGGGGTGAGGGGATGGGGGGGGGGAGCACTCCAGCCAGCAGCAGGCCAGGCTGTCCCTACTCTCCAGTCTCCAGTCCTTCCCACTGACTGTCCCAAGTAGAATTCAGAGGCAATGGAGCCTGGGGAATCGAGTGTTTAGGCTCAGACTGTGGACCAAGGGAGCAGAGCATAAGGGAATGACAGGCAGCAAGGGAGGTGGAAAGGCTGAGGTGTGGTGCACATGGTCCTCTTGGGGAGGGTACAACCCCGAGGCTCACGTGTCCTGGGAGGGGGCAGTACATGGAGCTTGCTCTTTAACGCAAGGATGATGACTTCTAAGAATGGCTGAGAGCGTGACAGAGCCCAGCACCAGAGCTGCGCTTTGAAAAGAGGATGCTTAGCTGATGGGTGAGCAACTGTCAGGCCCAGGGGAGGGGAAAGCAGGCAGGCACCGGCTACCCTGCCCCACCTGTACCCTAGGCATGGGTCCTTCCATCTGTCTCCAGCCCATGAGCACTGACAGCAGAATGAAGCCATAGCCCTGTACAGGGCCCGGTTACCATGGTGACCATTGGTTTTCTCCTTGCTTCCAAATGGCCTGCTCTGCCCCTGTGGTCAGGGCCCTGACCACCTGCCCCTTCCCGGGCCTCCACTGCCCCCCCCCAGCCCAGTTGCAGGGGTCACTCTACTGTCCATGTCCACCTCGGCGTTCCACTTTACCATCAGCTCAGTTTTCCAGCTTGATCAATACCAATAGCTGTGCGGTGGGGAGTGGAGATCGGGGCACCTAGCTGGAGCGGTGGGAGCCTCTGGAGTGCAACCTGCTTCCTCTGCTTCTCTCAGGGCCATGGTTAGCCTGCGTTTGAACTAAACCTTCAGGCCCCAGGCCCCCAGGAAGAGGTGATGTCAAGGAAAAATTCTGTTTTCTTTTCTTTTCTTTTTTTTTTTGAGATAGACTGACCTCCAACTGGGCGTACATTTGTGTCAGAAGATAGCCTTCAGGAATCAATTCTCTCCTTCTACCATGTAGGTTCCAGGGACTGAACTCACGTAGTCAGGCTCAGCAGCAAGCACCTTTAATCACCGGAGCCATCTTGCTGACCCAAAGAAAAGTCCTTAGAAACATAGCAAGAGCACATGGTGGGATCATGATCCTTCCAAAGGGGCACGAGCTACAGCTGGAATTTAGGAAAGCCACCTTTTGGCCTCGTGTGACCTTGGATGAGGCACTGTGCTGGCCCTGGGTCTTCTATGTCCACTCTGTTGCCTGGCCTGGAATCCCAGGCCATCAGGAACATGGGGACCTTGGGGAAGGTACTTAGCCTCTCTGTGAGTCAGTTTCCCTCCCTGTAACTGGAAATCACACGTGCGCGCCTGTCGGTTCAGATGTTGAGAGGATCAGGGTGATTCATGCGGAGCTGAGATAGACTGTGGAGACTCCAGATCACAGTGACAAAAGACCCCCACTCAAAGCACCACCTGCCACCTCTGTGAGCTTAGACTTGGGGTGCTCTAAGTCAGCCTGAGGAGCAGGTGGAACCAGGGAGTGTATGCCCCTGCTCCTGGCAGGCACTACCCTGCAGAGGCCAGAAGGAGCGAATGGGGACCAGGACAGTGGTTCTCAACCCACCGTGGGTCGTGACCTGTTCGAGGTTGCATATCAGATATTTACAATATGATTTATAACAGTAGCAAAATTACAGTTACGAAGTAGCAACAAAATAATTTTATGATTGGGGGTCAGCACAACATGAAGAACTGTTTTAGGGTCACTGCATTAGGAAGGTTGAGAAGTACTACACTCGGACTTGAGCAGGCTGCAATTTTAAAATGCATTTTCCCTTCAGCGGGGGCCATTTCTGATGTGAAAATGTGAAAGAAACACATTTTCAGAGCCAGGGTGGGAACACGCGTGTGTTAGCACAGCCCAACAAAACAGACCCTTTGAGTCCTGGCCTCTGAGCCCATGTGGACATCATCAGGCTGCTCGGGGGGCCGGGGGGCCTGCCCTGCAGCAAGGTGACCCGTAGAGCCAGCCTGGCTGTCAGGAGCCTAGGAGCCAAGGGAGGCATCAGGAAGGGCTGAGGCCAGGAGCTGGTGAACCACAGGAATGACGGTCACCACAGGTGGGATTTGAGACATCCTGTCTAGTGTACCCAAAGCCTACACACCTCCCTGGAGTTACAGTTCCACTCATGGGTGTCCACCTGACAAGCATATCATGTTCTGTCAACCAAAGACATGGTTGGGGTATGCAGGAAAACGACATCAGCTTTGCCTCCGATGGAATCCCTCAACTCACGAAGAGATCAAGATCAGTCCGTCACTGTACCAGCAGATTCTCGGGGGAAACAGAACCGACAAGGTGTCTATCATAAAGGGAGATTCACTAGAGTGGCCTACACAGGAAGGACTCTGGAGTCCAATGATGGCTGCCTGCATGCTGGCGAGGCTGAAAAGCTTGGAGCTGAAGGAGGCTGGAGGCCTCCATCAGGAGCCACAGGCCAGGATTATGGAGTGCTGCTAGAGAGAAGCTTTATCCCTGAGTTCATCCTTCCTGGGAAAGCCTTCACAGATCCACCCGGAGGCAAGACCAACCCTCCCGGTCACCAGTGGACTATCCACACAGCAATACAAAGGATAAGATGGTGCTTTGGGCAGCCGCAGGGAGGGGCTGGAGCATGGCTCAGTGCCAGGACAGTCGACTGGTACACACAGAGCTCTGGGTTGCAACCCAGCAACACACATGCACAGAAAACCCCAAGCAGGAAGAATCAGGCACAATGTGGGGTCACAAGAAAGATACAGGGTGTGCACAGGCTGCAGCCCTCTCCACAGAGGGGACAGAGCCCACCTGCTCATACTATGACGTGGCCCAGCCTTGAAATGAGCTCAAACAGACAGAGTATGGGGGGGGGTGTCTCCTGTCATCTCAGCACTCAGAAGGTGGGGGCAGGAGATTGAGATCATCCTCTGCACATACTGTACTCAAGGCCAGCCTGGGTTCCCTGAGACTTTCTCAA